TCATAACCTTCGACCAGACAGAGGCAATTCCCAGTGAATGAGTGACAGTGTCAGTAACAGCTGATATCCCATCCCTAAAGAGAGGACCTGCCAGAAGCTATGCCAAGCATTCGGGATCAATGGAGAATGAATAGAACTTCTGCACATGGGACTTTCGATCTATATATGGTCTATATTTACCTATTTGGTCTCTGGTCAGCTTGGAGGCCCACCTTGGGCCACAGTCTTGTCTCATTAGAAGAACGCATAGTTGGTGCTTAATAAGAGTCTGTACCATCTCATTACCGGTAGTGCACCCAGGTCCCTTTCTTTGTCTCTCCAAAGTGTCACCACCCGATCTTTTGAAAGATATGAGTCCCTTCATCATGGGCTAAACCACCACACAGTTATTTTTTCACACTCAAAAGAGACAAAGGAAGCCAGCCTGTAAGATGGAACCTCATTGAAAAACATCCCGTGCAGCATCTGAAACGAAGGCTGCCTGGGACCAGGCCCCGTCAGGGTCCAGTCTCGAAGCATCCACCAGAAACTTGCCAACGAGGGCAAAAATGGCAAACTCTCCCAGGACGCTTCAGCAGGTCGCTCGTTTTGAAATCTTCCTGGGAAACTTTGCCACGGAGTGCAAATCTAGCTGAAGCTCTACACCTGCCAAATCCTCTAGGCTCTGCTGAGCTAGGGTTCATAGTCCAAGTCTTGACCTTATCAGAGTTAGCCTGATTTATGATGGAGTGCATAAAAACCACTTGTATTTAAAGACAGCTGTTGACTAACTAGTGGGGGCTCCATGTGAGGATGTGGGACCCTGACCCCACATTCTCCTCTGTCGTCCTGTGGGAAGTGTGCTGGATATGGCTACCGTTACCATTGCTGATGATATTGGTTTGGCCAAAAAGTTCGTTCGGGTTTTCCTGTAAGATGCTATAATACGAAGGGTGTGGTTGCCTGGTACAGCATTTTATAGTGCCAAGCAGTTTTACTTGCATTATTTTAGTTGGTACCCACAAGTCTGTGCAGTAGGGGGCTGTCTGAGCACAAGGAAGTTGTCCAAACTCTCTGGGCCTCAGTTTCTCCATCTCTAAGCTGATAATAGAGCCTCCTAAGTTATTGTGAGGATTGAATAATGTAGCACCCATGAAGCCCTTAAAGAAAATAGCACCTGGCATGTAAGAATTTTTTTCTTTTTTCTTTTTTTAACAAAGAATTTACTTTATTAGAAATAAAAATGGAACTTCCCTGGTGGTGCAGTGGTTAAGAATCCGCCTGCCAATGCAGGAGACACAGGTTTTGAGCCCTGGTCCAGGAAGATCCCATATGCCGCGGAGCAACTAAACCTATGTGCCACAACTACTGAGCCCGTGTGCCACAACTACTGAAGCCTGCATGCCACAACTACTGAAGCCTGCAGGCCTAGAGCCTGTGCTCCGCAACAAAGAGAAGCCACCGCAATGAGAAGCCCGCACACCGCAACAAAGAGTAGCCCCCTGGGCTTCCCTGGTGGCGCAGTGGTTGAGAGTCCGCCTGCCGATGCAGGGGACACCTGTTCATGCCCCTGTCCGGGAAGATCCCACATGCCGCGGAGCGGCTGGGCCTGTGAGCTATGGCCGCTGAACCTGCGCGTCCGGAGCCTGTGCTCCGCAGCGGGAGAGGCCACAGCGGTGAGAGGCCTGCGTACCGCAAAAAAAAATTTAAAAAAATAGCCCCTGCTAGCTGCAACTAGAGAAAGCCTGCGCACAGCAACGAAGGCCCAACGCAGCAAATAAATTAATTAATTAATTTTAAAAAAAGAAATAATACATTGTTATGATGCAATGATCTGCTAAGTGTTTTTTCTTTTTTTAACTGAAGTTTAATCAATTCACAATGTTGTGTTAGTTTCAGGTGTACAGTAAAGTGATTTAGTTATACATACACGTATACCTAGTCTTTTTCAGATTCTTTTCCTGTGTTAGGTTATTAGAGTATTGAGTAGAGTTCCCTGTAATTTATCTATTTCATATACAGTAGTGTGTATCTGTTAATCCCAAACTCCTAATTTATCCCTCCCCCCCCACTGCCTTCTGTGATAACCATAAGTTTCTTTTCTACGTCTGTGAATGCATTCCCATTTTGTAAATAAATTCATTTGTATCTTTTTTTTTTTTAGATTCCAACTAATTTCTTAACAAATGTTTGAAATTACTGATAGTCAATTTTAGTCTCTTTTTTTTTAATTAATTAATTTATTTTTATATTTATTTTTGGCTGTGTTGGGTTTTCGTTTCTGTGCGAGGGCTTTCTCTAGGTGCGGCAAGCGGGGGCCACTCTTCATCGCGGTGCATGGGTGTCTCACTATCGCAGCCTCTCCTGTTGCAGAGCACGGGCTCCAGACGCACAGGCTCGGTAGTTGTGGCTCACGGGCCTAGTTGCTCCACGGCATGTGGGATCTTCCCAGACCAGGGCTCGAACCTGTGTCCCCTGCATTGGCCGGCGGACTCTCAACCACTGCACCACCAGGGAAGCCCCAAGTTTAGTCTCTTTAGGAGAGGAAAGCCAGATTCAGAGGGGCTAAGTTTATGAATAAGATACCTGGGCATCAAGGAAGGAAAACAGAGGAGGACTACCATGCAAATGGGGCCAGACTTTCCCACACTGGATTTCCAACACGAGTCATATAGCATTTGCCTGTCAACTTGGCAACAGAGGAAATACTGAATCTTCAAAAGAAAAATAAAAAAGATGAAGGCGTAGTATTGCCAAAGAAAGAAATTAAAAAAAAAAAACCTTGCACTTTTCAAACAATTGAACCCTTCTCATCTTTATATTTAGGTCTAAATAACCGAGGGATTATCATATTCAGAGATAATTAGGTTTGAAAAAGGTCTCTTTGCTCCGAGCCCTCCACTGAGGGCTTTTGAAGGCCTGCACTGTGTTGGGGTTTCACATCTACGTGGCCTCCCTCATTTTGCTTATTTCCTCCCCAAACAGAAGTTCAGCTGGCAGAGCCCTCGAAAGCAGAGGAAAGTGTGATCCTGGTGCCTCCGACCCCCTGGTCTCCTCAGGGATAAAGGTTTTTGGGGTTCTCGTGGTCTTTGTCTCCTGTCGTAAGTAGTAACAGCTGAGTGAGCTCAAAGCCGCTGTGTGTGTCTGTGTGTCTGTGTCCGGGGTGGCCCCTCCTCAGGTAGCATCAGGTGAGGGGAAATCAGGTGTCGCTCAAAGGGGAATCAGGAGTGGAACAGCCCCCACCAAAGTCCTCCTGCTTCTGCTTTTTCTACAAAATGGGTTGATCTTGGTGTTGGGATCTCACAGAACGTCTAGAAAATCAAAGGTTGCTAACCATTTGCTAAGAAAGAGGGCATTTGACTATTGTTTTACCACACACACACCATTCAGGAGTCTTTTTTTCATTTGGATGCTAGCTGCCTTTATTTAAAGTCTTGTGGATTCCAGGACAAAAATGCAGACATATATCTAGCTAATTTAGGAATGATTAATTCTCACCAGAAAGCCATTCTTACGGTGACCTATGGAATAATTAGTAATTATAAGTCATTGCTACCAGGAGATCCGATGACATACCTCTGCAAAGTGAAAGAGAACTTACTAGGAAACCGTGTTGGGTTTGTTGGAAAACTCTTTGACTCTTTGGTTTGATTAGATGAGTAGAGATTTGCTCAAATCCATTTTTCTATCTGTTTCAGCTGTGAAGCAATCGCTTTGGGCTTCCTAAGTCAAAATGTCAAAGATGGGGTTCCCTTTTCCCTTAGTCAGTGGTGGAATTTACAGTTTTCCAGATCATGATGTTAGAGGCAGGGGACCCATGTGTAGGAAGAGCCACTGCTGCAGCCCCCATCGTGTACCCCAAGAGCAGTGTCTGAGTGTGGTCCTGCCCTCTCTCCAGGGGCTGCTCTGGACCCAGAGACCACCCCCAGGCTTTGGCCCCCTCTGCAATGCTTTGTGACAACAAGGCATCCAAAATCACAGTATGAGGTGGGAAGCCTCCTAGGAAAATTTCTCCAAACCTCCTGTCTTCTAAAAGTTCTTCTAAAAGTTCATGTTTTTATTTTATTTTTATTGTAAAATTAGTATCTGCTTGTAATTAAGAAAAATACACAGAGTAACAAGAGTATAGAATATGGAGTAACAAGATAAAGCCCCTTCTCATCCTTCCCAGACCCTGATCCTTTTCCTACACTTCAGAGTTTGATATACATCCTTCTAGGCCTTTATATATGTACATTTGAAACATTTCAATAGAAAAGTAAAACACGCTTTTTGTAAGAAAAAGAAATATATATATATATATATATATATATATATATATATATATATATCAGACAGCAGGAAAATATTTAAGATAAATGTTGTTTATCTGTTGTTTATCTCCACCTACTTCCTCAGTCCCATTGCCTAGTGATATTGTTAAAAGTAGTATGTTTTCAAGACATCATTTAGTTATTATCTCCCTGTCTGTGGGCATGTGGGTAGTCTCCAAGTTTTTGATATCACAAATAATGCTGCAGCAAACATCCCTGTATATATATGTATACACACACATATATATATGTATATACATACATACATACATATATATATAATTTTTCCCCCTCACTTTCCTAAGCATTTTGTAAAAGTCGCTAGGTCCATGTGTATTTGCCATTAAAAAAATGGATTGATGACAAGTTTTTCTGCCTCTTGAGTATTTTGTTTCTCCCGTGAGGTTGTGAATGCCTGATGGCATTTGCAAGGACTACCTTTCTGGCTTTGAACCTTTCTCGTTAATGTTTAACGTCAGATCTGAGAGTGTTTCTGCCCAGGATGGTGGTCTTTTACTTTGGGGAGAAGACTGTAGTTGATAGTATTGTCCTGAATGTCATGGAAACTGGGTTCTCATCCTGGGCTAGCGAGACACTAGCTGTGTAACGCGGTAAGCATGACCCTATCTTGTCCCCGTTAAAGGGGCTGATGCCCAGGCACCACATTTAGGGGTCTCCTGATATCTGAATGCTAAGCGCTCTGGCTAGGGGACCTGAAAGCAGCATCTTTCTCATCGCACCTTCGCTTCTTCCTTATTTTCTCCTTGGCAGTGACGGCCCCCACCCAAGGCAGCTTCTGGCAGTTTTCAAAGGACGGTCAAACACATCACAGGGAGGAGCGCCTTTTTCTCAAATTATGGATATGGCTGCTACTGCGGGCTTGGGGGCATAGGGATCCCCATGGATGACACTGACAGGTGAGTGCAGAGGCTCTGAGGCTTCCTGTCGGTTCATTTGCTTGAAGAGAGAGAGGGTGTTAGGACCCTTGCGTTGTAAGGAACCGAAACCAATTCAGGTGAGCCTGAGGGTAAGGAAAAAAACTGAATGGGAGTGGGAGGGTGGTCTTGAACCCAAGGCTGGGGCTGGCTTCCCGTGGCCTATGCAGCTATCCAGGGCCCGCATGAGGTTCCCTGCTCTGTCACCTTCCGGAAATGCTTGACAATGTTTGAATAAGGGGCCCCTTTGCAGGGGCTTTGCAGATTATGTGGTCACAGCCCTGCCCAGAGCTCTAGAATGTTCAGCTCTCAGTCCTCATGGGAAACGTGGTCTTCTCTCAGGCCTCCAGTTTTTAGGATTACAGATGCAGCAAGACTGACCAACTGTCTCCCAGTCCTAATTCCATTTTCCAGGAAAGAGAATCCAAGTGGCCCAGTTTGGAAAAGTTGTCCATCTGGGCGAGGACACATGGCACAAACTTGGCTGCCAGGCCTACTTCTAAGGATGGGGGTGGGGGAGGGCGAATTCCCAGAAAAGGTGGAGGTTGGTGTTAATCTGGGGAGGGAACAGGGAGGTAGGAAACAGGATGGTTTGTGCATCTTTTTATTTGAAGAAATAAGAAGCAAAATGTTCCTAGTCACTTTCACCGTAGTGTGGATAAATATATCCCTGTAGTAGGGCGTGAATATCACTCCTGGAGCTTGATTCCTCTGGGCTGGGCTCATGAGACCATGGAATGTTCCAGCTGGAAGGACCCCAGAGCCCTTGAGGGGACCTGACACTGATGAAATGCCCGTCACATCCTGAGCCCTGGGATTGGTGGTTTGCATGCAGGGCTTGGTTTAATGCTCCCAGCACATGGCCGAGGCCGTGCCACCGTCCCCATTCTACAGGTGACAACGGTGAGGGACCCACTAAACAAAACAACAGAGCCCATAGACACAGAGCCCTTGAGTGGCAGGGTCAAGACTTGAACCAGAATTTGCCTGTTTCAAAGTCCGGGCCCTTTGACACTCCGTGCCTCCCCTTCCAAGTCCTGTGGCTGATGAGAATTTTAACACTATTAGCCAACGATGACCAATGGCAAAGAGCCCACGTGTGGGTGGGGATGGTGAGTGAGGAAGACAGAGCGTCCAGCCCAGGGCATCGGCCAGAAGCTGATCCTTTTCATGTCATAGAATCCAGCCCCAGATCTCTGTGTTCCTGCCACTCAGACGTGGTGGAAGAGGGGGCGCCGAGGCCGTCCCCCAGCTGTTTTCTCTCCTCCCGTGCTCTCCCCTCCCGACATGCCCACCCCTCCCCTGGCCAACCCTGAACCTCGGGAGAGCAAAGACTGAAGGATTATGTCTGATGTGCTGACCCTTTCTGCTCAGAGCCTCTCCCAGGGCTGGGCACACATTCAGTGCTCAGTCAAAAGTCATTAAATGAATGAATAAGTCATGGGCACCTAGATTTGAGTCCTGACTCTATCACCTTCCAGCCGTATGATTTTGGGAAATTCACCTCTGGATCTCAGTTCCTCTCCTATAAAACGGAGACAAGGACTGCACGTCCTAGGGTTACTGTGAGGCACTCATGAGACAGCAGTAGGTAGAGGAGGGCTCTTTTTGTGATTTTTTTTTTTTTGCGGTACGCGGGCCTCTCACCGTTGTGGCCTCTCCCGTTGCGGCCTCTCCCGTTGCGGAGCACAGGCTCTGGACGCACAGGCTCAGCGGCCATGGCCCACAGGCCCAGCCGCTCCGTGGCATGTGGGATCTTCCCGGACCGGGGCACGAACCCGTGTCCCCTGCATCGGCAGGCGGACTCTCAACCACTGCGCCACCAGGAAAGCCCTCTTTCTGTGATTTTTAATATCATCAGGAAGTTACCCCCCTGCCTTCCGCACCTTCTCACCGGGGCGGGGTCGGGGGGCGGATGGAGGCATGTGAATCCTTTCCAGCCAGTTCCCCAGGGCCACCCTCAGGAAAGCTGTCATCTCCCTCCATCTACCTGCCAGGTGCTGCCTGGCCCACGACTGCTGCCGCGAGAAACTCAGCTGCCAGCTCGTGTTGAACGGCTACCAGTTCCGCGTGGCCAACGGGACCGTGATCTGTGAGTTGCCTTCTCTGTAGGGAATGTCTTTGAAACTGGGCCTTTCCTTAAGGTCAGCCTTGTGGACCCAGAGAATTTGGGGGAAATGAGATTTTTTTTTCCAAGTGCTTTGGGATGGAGAGCTGTAATTCCGAGAATCAGAGTCCTGGCCCGGTCCCTCCCTGGTCCCCATTCGCAGCTGTGCCCCCAGCTCCCTCCAGAGGCGGGGTGCAGGGCAGAGCGCCCCGCCCCCGCCCGGGGTCTTGCATGTGCTCCATAAGTAGCTGCTGACTCGAGGGTACAGTGAACTTTGCAGCTTCGCCCGGCAGCTGTTGGCATTGAGAAGCTTCTTCCTGATGTCTGTCATGTGTTAACAAAGCAGCTCAGCTGTCGTTCAGCTGAACAAATATTTGGGAAGGGTGATTGCGTGCCAAGCACTGGGATAAGTGCGGGGGTGGGGGGGGACACCAAAGTCAACAGGAGGGGGATGGGGAAGGGAACCCACGTGTCATGGAGGCCATTCAAGGAAGAGGGCCAAGGACAGGGTGGGCAAGTACTGAGTGTCCAGAACGCGGGGAGGGGCCCCTGATCTCCCAGAGCATGTTCTGGGACTGCTGGGTGTGTAGGGCAAGTTGGATCTAAAGAACAAGCCCATTCGCAGGTGCTGGGCCATGGCCTTGTCGTGAACGCCATTCGTTTCAGCGGAACCGGTGGTTTCAATGCCCCTTCGAACGTGTGACTCGCCTTCCGCTTGGCCTTGGGGAGTTGCGTGAGCCACTGTCCCCCCGCTTGTGTGTTTATTCAGAGCTGTGAGTGTGTCTTGGAGATCGCCCGTCTTCTTCCGAGGCCGGGGAACCACCTCACTTCCACTCATCTCCCAGAGCCCCCAGCCAGGGCTCCGGCTTAGGACACACTGAGCGTTAGGGTGGTGCAGTCTCCCTGGTCCCAGTGGTGAAACGTGGCTCAGGCCCCTACAGACAGGAGACCAGCTTCAGCGGAGTCTGCTTCTTGGCCCCCCCAAGCACATCACCGATGGGGAGGGAACCCCCTTTTTCTTATGTGAGCTCAAGGAGACTTCCTGTGTTGGAGCTCTCTGGCTGTGACCATCCTCAGGCCTAAAGCAAGGCGTCTCCTCTGTGAGGCCCCCAAGGCCATGTCCAGGAGATGGGGAGGGGTCAGGGTCTAGTGGAGGGGCGGGGGAGGGGGTGACTGGAGGAGGTTGTCCGCAGAGGATTGTTTGCTTCCGCACATGATGCCCTCTGGAGGCCAGGGACCAAGTTTCTGACGTCCTCCTCCCAACCCTCGTGGCTCCACATGGTGGAAGACAGGGGCCGAGCCTGGCTGTCAGTTGGTGGTGGAGAGGCACACAGAAAAGCTGCCCCTAGCTCCCCTCAGCCCAGCTCACGGTCTCACTTTCACATGGTTTCTTCTCATCTCTTTTCGCCTTGATCTTAACATCTGTCATGTTAACTGTTACCTTAGAATGGTTGAAAAGCATCACTATGAGAGAAAATATGCTCTAAGAGCTCTCTCCTCTGATGCCCCTGTAAAGTGCAGGGCCCAACGAAGGAGGGAGACGGTGTTCTGAGGAGGGAAGTGGAATTTCAGTAAGTGCAAAGGACCTTCCCGCACTGTGGTCTCAGGTCCAGGCCAAGCCTCTGCCCGCTGCTCCTGTGTCACAGGGGCCAGCCCGGGCTCTCTGCACCTGGAGCAGCTTCCTTATCAACTCTCTTCACCCTCCCAGGTGGGGATCAGAGCGCAGCCCAGGACCCCAGGAAACGGGGGAGAGTGGCCTGGGTGCAGAGGCTGGAGTCCCGGGAGGTCGCACAGGGAACGTTCTCTGCTTTTGGCACATCAGGCTGGGGGGTGAGGAGAGGTGCAGGCAGGGGCCGGGAGCTGGACTGGAAAGTTCGTGGCCTGGCCCTGCTTTCTGCAGGTGCTGGCCCCTGCCAAGCAGCAGTAGCCAGTTGCTCCCGAATCTTGACCAGGGCTCCCAGAGCTCAACATCTTGCTTAGGGAGTTAGCACGGAGGGATGCTTCTCCGTCCTCACCAGGACATCAGCACCCCCTCCTCAGCCGCCCCAGCTAGTGAGGACCAGGCTGACCCTGCTGTTGTCCCCACCCCCACCTTGCCAAACCCCTATTCCAGTGTGTGCTGAGACCCCAAGTGAACCCCACACACATCCATTCACTTGCCCAGTATCAACTGAGCACCCATTGGGTGCCCATCCAGGGCCAGTGCTGTGCCAGGGCCAGGGGCACAGAACAAGGCAGCCAGCCGCAGGCCCTGCTGTCCTGGCCTTCTCCAGAGCTGAAAATGCCCTTGGGACCATAGAAACCAAACCCTCATTGTAGCAATGGGGAGACTGAGACCCAGAGATGGAGAAGGGTTTGATCCAAGGTAACAGGCAAGATTAAAACTCATACATCTTGAGGCTTTCCAGTGCTCTGGAACACACTGCTGGCCTGAGTTTTCTAGGCCTCAGTTTCTTCATCCATAAAATAGGTGCACTAACAACAGCTACAGTTCATGAGCATATGACAGACGCTTTACACTCAGCACTGTGAATCCGTGATAAACCTTTGAGGTGGGCATTATTCTCCCCATTATCGAGGAGGACCCTTAGGCTCAGAGAGGTTAAGTGAGATGGCCAAGGCCACACAGCCAGGGAAAGAAGAGTTGGGATTCAGACCCAGGTCGTCTGACCCCAGTTGGTGCCCCTGCCTCCCACCATCCTCCCCAGGGGCATGGGGCCGCTGGGATGGCGATGGGGCTGCTCTTGACTGGGGGCTCACGCAAATGCAAGTCTCATTATCTACAACAGCCTTGTCAGAATGTTCAGCCCTGGCCCAAGGGGCAAAGAAGAGCGGAAGGAATTTGCCCCCTCTGCAAGGACCCAGATCTTTCTGTTCTAGCTCTATGTACCCTGCTAAGAGGCCCAGAGACAGCACACGCTTTGGAGTCAGGCAGAGCTGGGCCTGCATCCCAGCTTCACCTTTTCTAGCTGGATAATTGCACAGCCCCCCTGGGCCTTAGTCTCCTCATCTGTAAAATGGAGATACTAATCAGAACTTCATAAGGTCACTAAAGGACTGACTAAAGTAACCCAGCTCAGAGCAGGTGCTTAGTTAGCTAATGCCCCTCCTTTTAGAAGTTGAGATTTCTTTCGTTTAATCTCAGTTTCCTTTTCCCCTTTACTTTGTGGGAAAGCACTGGGAGTTTTTTTTAGTACTGTTGAGAGATTTCTTGGAAGCATCTCCTCTGCATTTGACTCCCCTTGAGCTAATGTTATTAACCCCTTATAGGATAAAAGCTCGCCCACTCTAACCCCAGTTATACTGCAGTTCAAGGAGCTGCCTTGCAAGGGTTAACCACCTCCCCAGCCTCCAAGTTCTGAAATCCCGCACCTAAGCCTGGTCCCAGGTTGCCTAGCAACCAGTGGCTGCTCCAGGATGCAGTCGGTGTAAGCAGGGAAGGGAAAGGAGAAAAACAACTTGGCCTGCCCATGTCTCTAAATGTCACTGGGAGCTCAGTGCAGGGAAGGGCCTGGAACCCAAGCCCTGGGGCCAATTTGCCGAGGGGCGAAGGCTCTCCTCGGGTAACCGGGGAGGTCATTAGCCCTCTGTTGAGTGGGCTTACATAAGT